ATGGACAGACGGACGGACGGATGGATGGATGGATGGATGGACGGATGGATGGACGGACGGACGGACGGATGGATGGATGGATGGATGGATGGATGGACGGATGGATGGGTGGATGGACAGATGGACGGATGGATGGGTGGGCACATGGGGATGGATAGGTGGATGGCTGCTGACATTAAGATCAAATGTATAATCAGAAACAACTGGCAATGAATATCCTTCCCTATAAATTACATATTTGGGTAAAAATGTCCTCAGGGGGGAATGAAGGAAAGGAGAAGGAAGAAAAGAAGGAAGGGGGAGAGAGGGCACTGGAAGATGGAAAAGCATCTCTGACGCCAAAGAGTGTTCTCGTCGCCTCTCCTAGACGTCTTTCTAGTTCAGTGGGGGCGTGGCTGTGTCCCACCCCTGCAGCAGACTGTGCAGGGCCTGCGTGTGGCCTGTGTCTTTTACTTCCTCACCCCCAGCGCCTGGCCCAGAGCTGGCTCCGGCAGGGGCTCCATAAATACACACTTTGGGAAAGGAACCAGGTGGCAGCTCCATTCATGGAGTCTCTTTTAGCGCCAGACACTTCACGGAGATGATGGAATTTGTTGCTGTTAATCCTCACCCGAGGATATTTTCCCATTGATTTTTAGGGAAAGTGGAAGGGAGGGGGAGAGACAGAGAGAAACATCGATGTGAGAGAGAGACATCAATTGGTTACCCCCTGCACGTGCCCTGACCAGGGCCCCAGGTCAGAGAGAAGCGAAGCCTGCAACTAAGTAAGGTACGTGCCCTTGACCGGAATCAAACCCGGGACCCTTTGGTCCGCAGGCCGACACTCTATCCACTGAGCCACACCGGCTTGGGCGAGACTATGGAATTGAATCCTCATAGCAGCCGCATGAGGCCGGTGCTCCTGTGATCCCCATTTTACCGGTGAGGAACGTGCGGCTCCAGAGAATGAAAGAAAGGCCCCCAGTCACAGACAATTGTCCGCTGGGGGGCGGGGGGGATCAGGACATGGGACTCTGGGCTACCACAGCCCTGGCTCCTACCGGGAGGGCTGGCCAGGCTTCGTGAGGCCTGAAGCTTTACATTTTGAGGGCCTTTTAAAGAAGAAGGCGTACCCCCAGAATATGCTGAAAGTTTGCAAAAACATATGTGAGCATATCACGGGGGCCTTTCCGGCCTTGGAGGGCCTGCAAGGGAGGGGCGCTGTGGCTGGGCTTTGTTAGCCACGTGGCAAAGCCCCCCTGAGCTGGCCCCCCAGGCTGGGAACAAGAGCAGAGGAAGAGGAGGAGGAAAATTGGAGAACAAGGAAGAGATAAAACAGGAGGGAATCTAAAGAGACCGCTGGGAAAGAGCACTCAGGGCAGGGCTCAGGGCGGGGAGGAAGGGGCTGGGGCTGAGGCTGGATGGGGGTCCAGCCAGCTTTCGCACCTGGCCCCTGAGGGTGGGCCTCCGGGCTCTCCAGGCCCCTGGCATCTACCTGTAGGCCTGGCAGGCTCCTCCTCCAACATCACAGTGGCCCTGCCCACGTCCTGCCCAGGCCTCTTCTCAGGCCCCCAGACCCCTGGGAGCTGGGCCAGCGCTGAGCCAGGAGGGCTGAGTAATCACCTTCCACCAGCCGCGCCCTGCGTGCTCCTGCCCAGGCAGCCGCCTCTTTCCTGCTTCCTCACCTGAGTGCTAAGAGATAGCTGCACCTTGTGGCCAGATGCTCAGCCTGGCACACAGAGGGGCCTCGGCGGGCAAGGCTGCACCAGGGGGGCCTGGCTCCTCGCTGCCTGTGCCGGGGTCGCCCTCAGAGAGGTGCAGCCTGGCCCCTGTTCTGAGATGGCAGGCACCCGGCTCTGCCCCAGACTCCCCATCCTGAGGGCGCCTCAGACCAGCCTCAGACCTCGGCTGCTCAGAGACAAGGCCATGCCACCCACAGTGAGCAACCTCTCCCCAGACCGGGGGCCTTTCAGACTCTCGTGTTCTGTTCGGCCTCTCACGTGGTTGCTCTCGCGTGGCTGGGAGTGTCGGAGAACCAGGTGCAAACCCCAGGTGTGCCCCACTGTGTGATGTGGGCCAGTCACCCCCTGAGCCACAAGCACGATCTCCCCGGCTGTCAATGGGACCAAATCCTCCTCGGAGGGTGGCTGTGAGAACTGGAGATGGCGCATAGACGCCTTTTCAGTGGCAGGGCCACTACCCAGGTCTGACCTGGGCTGACCTCCAGGGCAGGCCCAGGCTGAGAAGTGGAGGAAGCTCTGGCCCTGAGCCTGGCACTGGGTCACTGTCGTGTGTGACCCTGGCTTTGCCTCTAGGACGCGGTGTCCTCCCCACCAGAGGTCAGAGCACAGCTGCCCAAGTCTCCTTCGCTCCATGGCTCTGGGGTCCCACACCCCGTCCCGGCCCTCAGGCCTCACCACACAGCAGGATGCCAATCAGAAGAGACCCCGTGAGGAGGGGAGACCCGGGTCCGAGCCATGGCACTCACGGTGATGTGAAATGGTAAGTACCTGAGGCAGGAAAGTCGCTCTCAGCGGGACACTGCGGGCACACGGGGGACACTGCGGGCACACGGGGGATACTGCGGGCACACGGGGATACTGCGGGCACATGGGGGAGACTGCGGGCACACGGGGGATACTGCGGGCACATGGGGGAGACTGCGGGCACACGGGGGACACTGCGGGCACACGGGGATACTGCGGGCACACGGGGGACACTGCGGGCACACGGGGGATACTGCGGGCACACGGGGATACTGCGGGCACATGGGGGAGACTGCGGGCACACGGGGGATACTGCGGGCACAAGGGGGAGACTGCGGGCACACGGGGGACACTGCGGGCACACGGGGATACTGCGGGCACACGGGGGATACTGCGGGCACATGGGGGATACTGCGGGCACACGGGGGATACTGCGGGCACAGAGGGAATACTGCGGGCTCAGAGGGGATACTGCGGGCACACGGGGGATACTGTGGGGACAGAGGGGATACTGCAGGCACACGGGGGATACTGAGGGCACACGGGGGATACTGCGGGCACACGGAGATACTGCGGGCACACGGGGGATACTGCGGGCACACGGGGGGATACTGCGGGCACACGGGGGATACTGTGGGCACAGAGGGGGATACTGCGGGCACAGAGGGGATATTGCGGGCACACGGGGGATACTGCGGGCACACAGGGGATACTGCAGGCACAGAGGGGATACTGCGGGCACACTGGGGATACTGCGGGCACAGAGGGGATACTGCGGGCACACGGGGGAGACTGCGGGCACAGAGGGGATACTGAGGACACACGGGGGATACTGCGGGCACAGAGGGGATACTGCGGGCACAGGGGGGATACTGCGGGCACAGAGGGGATACTGAGGACACACGGGGGATACTGCGGGCACACGGAGATACTGCGGGCACACGGGGGATACTGCGGGCACACGGGGGGATACTGCGGGCACACGGGGGATACTGTGGGCACAGAGGGGGATACTGCGGGCACAGAGGGGATATTGCGGGCACACGGGGGATACTGCGGGCACACGGGGGATACTGCAGGCACAGAGGGGATACTGCGGGCACACTGGGGATACTGCGGGCACAGAGGGGATACTGCGGGCACAGGGGGGATACTGCGGGCACAGAGGGGATACTGTGGGCACAGAGGGGATACTGCGGGCACAGGGGGGATACTGCGGGCACAGAGGGGATACTGCGGGCACACAGGGGATACTGCGGGCACAGAGGGGGATACTGAGGGCACACGGGGGATACAGTGGGCACAGAGGGGATACTGCGGGCACATGGGGGAGACTGTGGGCACAGAGGGGATACTGCAGGCACAGAGGGGATACTGCGGGCACAGAGGGGATACTGCGGGCACACGGGGGATACTGCGGGCACAGAGGGGATACTGAGGACACACGGGGGATACTGCGGGCACAGAGGGGATACTGCGGGCACAGGGGGGATACAGCGGGCACAGAGGGGATACTGAGGACACACGGGGGATACTGCGGGCACAGAGGGGATACTGCGGGCACAGGGGGGATACTGCGGGCACAGAGGGGATACTGTGGGCACAGAGGGGATACTGCGGGCACAGGGGGGATACTGCGGGCACAGAGGGGATACTGCGGGCACACAGGGGATACTGCGGGCACAGAGGGGGATACTGAGGGCACACGGGGGATACAGTGGGCACAGAGGGGATACTGCGGGCACATGGGGGAGACTGTGGGCACAGAGGGGATACTGCGGGCACAGAGGGGATACTGCGGGCACAGAGGGGATACTGCGGGCACACGGGGGATACTGCGGGCACAGAGGGAATACTGCGGGGACAGAGGGGATACTGCGGGCACAGAGGGGATACTGCGGGCACACGGGGATACTGCGGGCACACGGGGGATACTGCGGGGACAGAGGGGATACTGCGGGGACAGAGGGGATACTGCAGGCACACGGGGATACTGCGGGCACACGGGGGATACTGCGGGCACACGGGGATACTGCGGGCACACGGGGGATACTGCGGGCACAGAGGGGATACTGCGGGCACACGGGGATACTGCGGGCACACGGGGGATACTGAGGGCACACGGGGATACTGCGGGCACAGAGGGGATACTGGCGGGCCCGTGGCAGGAGAGCCCTGTGCAGAAAGCACGCACCAGGCCATGTTTCTATCCTAAGAGGGCAGCAATCCGTCCCAGGGAGCATAAATGGTGTCACCCCAATCCCCAAACTCCTCCCACTTACCCCAGCCCCAAGCAGAAGCACCCACAGGAGTGAGAGCTCACACACCAGGAGAGGGCTCCTCTCGCACCCGGCAGCCCACGCCTGTGGGTTGGTGGAAGACATTTGGGCGGGAAGACTTTGCGACAAGGAGGTGTGTCCCCAGCTCTGAGGCCCAGGGCCCAGGAGCAGCTCCAGGTGCTGCTCCAGCCCCTCAGATGGGTGTCAGGTTACAGACGTACAATCATTCCAGTTTGGCAACTCCACCTGCAGGGCTGTTGCCCGCCCGCCCACACCCCACCTCACTCCTTGCAGGTACAGCAGGGCCGGGAGGGGCAGCTCGCTGAGCAGGAGGGGTGCCGGCACCTAGGCCTCCTCCTGCCAAAGCTTCCGGGGGCTCTGACCTGCTGACCAGCGGGGCCCCAGCCAGGAGGCCCTGCTCCCGACGCCGGTTGCTGACCTCAGCTCCAGGCCTCACAGAAAGCAAGATCTCAGAGCCAGCATGGTGAGTGTGGGGGCCCTGCTCTGAAGACCGGGTGGGGGTGGGGCTCCCTATAAAGAGCCCTTCAGGCAGCCTAAGAGGTCATCCGCGGAGAATTCCCTAACACCCTCTAGGTTAAAAAGAGGTCACACCTGGCCCGGCTGGTGTGGCTCAGTGGTTAAGCATCGACCTATGAACCTGGAGGTCACAGTTCAGTTCCTGGTCAGGGCACAGGCCTGGGTTGCGGGCTCAAACCCCAGTGTGGGGTGTGCAGGAGGCAGCGATCAATTGATTCTCTGTCATCATTGGTTTCTATCTCTCTCTCCCTCTCCCTTCCCTCTGAAATCAATTTAAATATATATATATATTTTTTAAAGAGGTCACACTGCTTTGCCCCCACCCTCCAGCCCTCACCTCTCTCAGCACCCGCCGGCCCCGTCTCCCTCCCTCCCAGCAGCCCTGCATCAAGGAAGCTGAGACACGGCGGCGGCTGAGGCTGCCTTCCTGACCACCCCGTCCTGAGCCCGCCTGCTCCCTTGCTGGGGCCTCCTGGCCACCTGGCAGAGGCTGGCACTTTCCCAGGAGCCGGGGGCTGCTCTGATACCTCATGGCCGCTGCCACCTCCCGGAGAGACGACTCCTTTTCCTTTTAAAGAAACTGGTGGCGGAGCCCCAAGGCTCCTGTGGCGGTCCTCTCCCTCTCCCTCTGCCTGCCCTCTCTCCTCCTCCTCCCCCCAATACTGGAGCTGCTCCGCTGCCCGAAGCAGAGAGAACAGACCCCAGACAGCGGCCATGGGGAGAGAGTAAATGTGGGTCCGAGGGGCCCAGAGAACCTGCCCTCTCCGATCGCAGCCAAGATGCTGCAGGTGCCCAGCAACCAGCATGGCAACGAGCAGTGAGCGGGCAGGGAAGGGGCAGTCAGGGCAGCGGAAGCTTCCTGTCCAGGGGAGAGGTGACTGATGGCCTTCAAGGCACTCGGCCGGCCCGCGCCCTGGGGCTCCTCTGGGAAGTCTTGCCCCACTTCGGCCCAGCACTAGGGTGGGGAGGCTCAGGGAGGGGAGGGCCTGGCCCCGCCACTCTGAATCCAGCCGTGTCCAGCCAGCTACCAGCCTGTGCGCAGAGCAGACCGGGGCCTCGGGCTCTGGGGGCAGGGGGGGTTGGAGGGGTTGCAGAGGAATCAGCACCAGCACCGACCTGAGCTGCCCCAGGGAACCAGGTGCCTGGGGGAGCCTGGGGGAGCCTGGGGGGCGGCGGGAGGGGCAGTTTCTAGGCCAATGACAAGAGCACTAGCTGTGAGTTAAGAGGGCGCGTGCAGCTCCCTGTGCCACTGAGACTGGACTCTTCCGGGACTCTGTCCTCTCTCTGTGAAAGGGCAGTGCTGTCCGCTCCGCCCAGGCACACGCGGGTTCATGGAGGCGGCAGGCGGCTAAGGATGCATGTGAGCAGCTCTGCAAACCTGAGGCCTGTGCAAATGTGAGGGGTTGCTCCAGGAAGTGAATGGCAGGTCCGCGGCCTGGCCACCCTGACCGCTACTCAGGGAAGGGGCTGGGCTTTGCTGGACAAGGGCGGGCGGGAGGGCGGGGAGGCTCCCTATGGTGGAGGCCGGGCGGAAGGCCAGGCAGCAGGGTGGCCAGGATCCTGGCCGAGACAGGAGCCTCTGGCCCCGAGCGAGTTTAAAACCACCTGCGCCTAATTACCCCCATTCTCCTCTAATGAGGCCAGGCCAGTGTAGCTCCCAGGCCAGGAAAGGCGGGACATGCCCAGGCCCAGCCCTCCCTCCCCCACAGCCCCGCCCAGAACAGAGTCAGTCCTGAGAGTCCCCTGTGGTTGCTGTTTCCTAACAATGTTCTCCCTTGAGCCTCTTACCTGGGTGTGCCCAGCAACAACAGAGGTGGGGAAGGCTGGCAGGGGGCGGGGCACCGTCTCTGTCCCCAAGGGATCCTGTCCCTGCAGGGACTGGGCAGCTCCCAGGGGGCCTCACCATGAGCCCCCAGGGCAGAGTGCGGCGTGCCGGCCACTCCCACCCTCTGGCTGCCCTCCCGTCCCTGCCTTACCAGCTGCCACAGGCCCAGGGCCCGGGGAAGGACATTCACAACCAGAGTCATCCAGAGACGCACACGACTCTGAGGCCTCGGGGTCCTCGGTCACAGGTGAGGCCACTCAGCAGGAGCAGTCGGGGCCGGGACTCCGAGCTCTGGGACCCCAGCACCAAGGGCCTGCCTTCCATTCGCCCTCCTTCTCCTCCAAGATGTGTCACCGTGAGTCCTGAGCTTGAAACTAGAACTTGAAATAGACACTAAAAACCAGGGGCCGCACTCCCTCACCTGGAAGCTGATGGGTGTTATGATGAAGTGGACACGGGCGGAGCCTGACAGGCAGCGCCTGCCCGCCAGGAGACGGCACCCCTCGCTCACCTACAAAAGGTCACCAACGAGGAGACCCTCACGGACAAAGACAAGCACGATTGACCTGGACCATCGAGAAGACAGAGGTGAAGTCTCACGCCCAGGGCTGCTCAGGGAACAGAACAGCACAAGCTCCTTAATGTAGAACACAGATTTGAAGAGAGAATTGTCAGTAAGTCAGGCCTGAAGCGAGTCCCTCTGAGGGAGGCCGCTGCACTGGGGCCGCCAGCAGGGCCTCCACATCGCAGGCCCCGCGGAAAGGGCCTGGGAGGCCCAAATCTCTTTCTGCCTCAGACCCCTTTGCCACCGGCATTTAAGTAGAACCCACATGTGGAAAACGGAGAAGACACCAGAGCTGCAGTGTTCACAAGCACCTTGATCCCCCAAATCCCACCGCCTCCTTCCCTCTGCAGCATCCTCTGGGGCCCCACCCCACCCCATCCACCCCAGACACTATAGAGCCTTATCTGGCCTTGCCTTTGTCTGTGGAACTCTCCTTCGCCATCCAGCTTCTACCCACACACCTCCTGTTGCTTAAAATAACCTTCCCACCCGACCAGCATGGCTCAGTGGTTGGTTGCGTGTCGACCTATGAACCAGGAGGTAACGGCTCGATTCCCGGTTAGGGCACAGGCCCGGGTTTCGGGCTCGATCCCCAGTGTGGGGCGTGCAAGAGGCAGCCAATCAGTGATTCTCTCTCATCATAGATGTTTCTCTCTCTCCCTCTCCCTTCCTCTCTGAAATCAATAAAAATATTTTTAAAGTAATAATAATAATCCTCTCTGTGCTGGGGGGAGCAGGCCTCTGTCCCTTCCTCACTGCTCCCAGCATCCTCTCTGCCTACTCATGGAACCGGCCCTCCCCTGAGCAAATGCAGGTCTTTGCTCTCTGGACTGCATCCTCCACCCTGGGCCACTCTCCCAAGACCTCTGGTCCGCGGCTTCCCTCCGGAAGTCAGGCCCTTGGCCTGTGGACCATACCACAGCTGCCACTCACTCACCGCCATCACATTCAGGCGAGGCCCAGGCTCTTCCCCATTCATACTTAATGAGTTTTCAGTATCTACTATGTCAGGCATTTGCTAGATCCTGTATTAATAGTGTTATTAATTGTTAATAAAATAATAGAATTATAGACTTTGCCACTTTTGTTTACTGCTGTATATTCAGCCCCCAGAACAGTGCCTGGCTGAAAGAATAAAGTATTATTACTAGAATAAAGTATTATTATTATTATTATTATTATTATTTTAATCATCACCCGCAGATGTTATTTTAATTGATTTTTTGAGAGAGAGAGGAGAGACAGAGAGAGAGAAACATCAATCGGTTGCCTCCCGTATGCACCCAACCAGGGATCAAACCCGAAACTGGGTATGTATCCTGACCGGGAATCAAACCGCAACCTTTTGGTGTATGGGACGACGCACCAACCCACTGGGCCACCGGGCCAGGACACGCACCACCATTGTTTATCTTTGTTGTGATCACCAGCATGTACTGTGTTCCTACTGCGTGCCCGGCAGCGTGCTGGGCCCTCTGTGAGCGCACTGGTGTCACTGAGCGCAGGCCTTCTAGAATCTCCCTTTCCCTCTTTCTCATGACACTGGGGCTCCGGGTGGTTAAGTTGCCTGAGGCCTAGGCTCCACCCACTTTCAGTAAAATCCCGCCTCCCTGGCAAAGGGCAGCCCCAGGAGGACACCTTCACGGAGCCAGGAAAGTGGTAGGAGCTGCAGAGAGCGGGGAGGCCCCGGGCCACCTGCCCGAGACGCTGCTTCGGGCTCCACACTCGGCTCCAAGGGGAGATGGGCCACGCAGACTGTGGGAACCACGCCACGTCCCCGGACAGCCAAGGCCAGTGGGAGCAGAGAGGCCGTGTTATCAACACACCAGGATGGCCACAGGCCGCGCTGGGCATGTGCCTAAACGGATGTCCAAGGACTCTGAGCCTGGGAATCCTCATCAGGCCAAGATACCATGAGCAGGTGCAAGGACACAAGGCACACTGTGCCCTTCAGTAGCCAGTATGATTGATGTCAGTGTTGGCACCAAGCCTTCGGTGTCTAAATGGTGTAAAACTGGGTTACTGACCAGCTAGTCGGCTGGAGTGAGAAGTCTGCTGGAGAGAGCCGCTGGGATGGAGGGAGAAGAAGTCTGCTGGAGAGAGCAGCTGGGATGGAGGGAGAAGAAGTCTGCTGGAGAGAGCAGCTGGGATGGAGGGAGAAGAAGTCTGCTGGAGAGAGCCGCTGGGATGGAGGGAGAAGAAGTCTGCTGGAGAGAGTAGCTGGGATGGAGGGAGAAGAAGTCTGCTGGAGAGAGCGGCTGGGATGGAGGGAGAAGAAGTCTGCTGGAGAGAGCCGCTGGGATGGAGGGAGAAGAAGTCTGCTGGAGAGAGCAGCTGGGATGGGGGGAGAAGAAGTCTGCTGGAGAGAGCAGCTGGGATGGAGGGAGAAGAAGTCTGCTGGAGAGAGCAGCTGAGATGGAGGGAGAAGAAGTCTGCTGGAGAGAGTAGCTGGGATGGATGGAGAAGTCTGCTGGAGAGAGCAGCTGGGATGGAGGGAGAAGTCTGCTGGAGAGAGCAGCTGGGATGGAGGGAGAAGTCTGCTGGAGAGAGCAGCTGG